CGTAGTTACTGAGGGTTTGAGGATTAGGGTTTATATTCTTGTGCTACCAAGAATGTCAAGCTTCATCAATGCGGTGGATTCTAAAGAAGATGTTTTCATGGGAGAAAAGAGGCAAAGAATGACTGAAGATCCAGATATATTTGACCCAGAAAGCAAGCTTCAATTGCATTTCGGGTAATTTTAAGAAAATAATTTTGTTTTGAAATTTTCTGGATTGTGCTAGTAAGTGGGCCTTCATAGCTCAATTTGATGGTTAAAGAGAAAATAAATACTGCCTGCTTGATTCATAAGCTTCATGAATTAGGGCTAATGGTTGTATTCTATTGTAGTTTGGAAAATGGGAACAACTATAATGCTGCAATTCTTCCAAAATTGAAGAAGAAATTTCGGGTACCGGTCCCGGGTCCGAGATTACCGATCGGATACGGTACCTTCCAATTGGACCCGACCCCTTGCCACCCCTACCCTAGACTCCCCCAACTCTTCTAGGAGCCGTCCTTCCAAAATCCATCTTCTACAAAGATTTTAAATCCTAAAATATAGGGGATGGTCACAAATGCTTATAACCATATGAAATTTGGTAGCTTGAATGTGTCACAAATTTTTTTTGAACTTCGTGCTTTGTCGATGAAATGAATGCATCTACCTAATTTGCCATATTTTGGATTTAATTTTTAAAGACATGTAATCTCTAAGATGGAGAACATGAATATAAAAAAATAAATAAATTTTTAAAGCTAAAGAAAAAAACATTTGGACCATTTACACTTTTTGCACCATGTAATCATGCGATTCCGACCGTATGAAACAATTTTCCAAAATAAAAAAGCAAATTTCCTATATTTCCTACATCAATCTGAAATTTGAGTGGGACTGCATTTTTTCCTGCATGCGTAAGGGAGTGGTTGTACGGAATTATATCTCCCCAAAGTACTGCTTTTTTATAACTCATATCTTTTTGTTTTTTAAAGAAAAATTATGTACGAACAGAATTTCAGTATATTTATCACGGTATGGGTCATATTTATACAAAAATTACACGGCGGCCAACCCTTACCCATGTGCCCTTTTCATCTAGAACCGTTCATTTGTGTGGCACTAAACAGGTGAGAAAATAGAGCTTACTCATAGTCTGCCGACATTTGTTACACCAAGCAACTATGTTGTTCGGACAACTTAACTTCCTAAACTTTCCAGCATTAAAAATACCAGACCTATTATAAGTAATTATTACCATTTGAATTGTTATTAGTTAATTAGTACTATAGAATTTATAATGTAACTAATTTTATTTATTATTATTTATAGTTGAATGATTTTTCTCTAATAAAATTTCTAGAAATAGAATTTTGCAATGGAATATTTTTTTTTATTTTAAAAATCTAATAGATATAAATATTTTAATTTAAAAAAAATATACCAAGAGACCATTTATCTTTGGGAAAAGTTTATATAGAACCGAGGTTTTAAACGATCAAATTAGAACACAACTTAAAAATTTCACTAAAAAAAGGTTGTTTTGATGCCCTAATATCTTCAAATTGATCATCTTGACATCAACATGCATGTACATGTAAAAAAATTGAATTTCAAGTTTTGGAAATAGTACATCTAGTAATGTATTTTTGGACCATCAATTTTCAAGATTTTCAAGTTTTAATAAATCTACTCGATCTACACTATTTTTGAAGCTTTAAATTTTATAATTAAAGATTGCAAATATCTTTTAGGGAAAATTATGTATATATTTGTTATATTTATTGTTATTACAAAATACCTTTTAGTTTCCATTATTACATTTATATCTGTTTTTTCAACTTGACGGCACTTTTTTTTTAAAAGATGAAACTACCTTTTTCAATTTTTCAAAAACCGAAAATCAACTAAGTTCGGTTTTTGAAGAGCCAAATTCGTGCTTTCTCATCTCTTTGATTAGAACAAGCAATACTTTGTAGGAAAACGTTTATAGGGAAAATCATATACATATCCGTTATACTTTACGTTATTATGGATGTCCCAGTTTTTGTTATAACATGTCTGTCTGTTTTTTACTTTTTATAAAGCAACTTTTAAAAAAGACAATTTTACCCTCCTTAAGGTTTTTGAAATTTCGTAGCTATATTTTCGAATGTTGAATATCCGAAAATAGTTTCGGATGTTGGACATCCGAAAATGTCATATTTTCGGATGTTGGCAATGCAAGCTTTCTTAAATGTGACTGATATTGTTCAACAACTGAAAATACATTGATTTCGGATATTGAACATCCGAAAAAACCTTCAATTTGGTTGTTCAACACCCGAAAAAAGGTAAAGTCGTCTTTTTTTTAAATTTAATTTATAAAAGGTAAAAAACGGATAGACATGTGATAACGAAAACTATTCGGTACATCCGTAATAACGCAAACTATAACATGTGTAATTTTTCCAAGTTTATATAACTACCTTATATTGTAGAACTACGGATGCACCCTCAATACAACAGTCGCGTCGGGCCATTAGAGTTGAAAGAAGAATGCTTTTAAGAAAAAAAAAATTCATTCCCTAAAAGACCCATTTTCTCCTTTCAAAAACCGGTAAAAAAAAATGTAATGGATTCTTTAATTTCCATGATCAAATAACCAGAGATTTCAGTAACTTTGAAAGTTTGATTTCCATTTTTTCCCATCATTTCCATGATTTTGATCTAGGGCTTTTTAAACTTTTCCCAAATTATGCCCGTGGATCAAGTCAGAGAACTAGAAATTTAAGTATTTTTGAAAGTTCTCCTCTTCATCTATTATTTGTGCAGTTTCAATGATCAACCAACAAGAGATCTCTACAACTTTAGAAGCTTCCTCTTTGATGCATTCTTTCTAAAATTTTCATGATCAGAGAATCAGAGACCTAGCAAATGCATAAGCTCCCTAATTTCATGTACTTTTTTATACTTTCAATTTTCATGGCTAGAGAACCAGAGTTTTCTATCACCAAAAAAAGAAGAAAAGGGTTCACCATTTCTAATGCTTTTTCTGCAAGTTCCATGACCAAAAAGTACTTGAGAAAGGGTGGGGCTAGCAGAGGCGGAGAAGAAGAAGGGGTGGCGTGACAGAGAGGAAGGGGCGCTTTTGTAAAGGGTGGAGCATGTGCTGACTGCTTTTGGTTCAAGGGTTTTTCTATTATTATTAAAATTTTTTTTGACCTTTTTCTCTGCGGGTAATGATGGGAAGAAGACGGATTGCCAATGAAGAGAGAGGGTTGAGCGACCAGGTTTAATCTTCTTCTTTTTGGTCCAAGACCAATAGTGAAGAGGGTGAGAGGAAGTCTTCCCTATGCTTTTCTGGTTTCTAAGGTCCGCTAAAAATAGAAAAATATATAAATTTGGGTATTTAAAATTCGAAAATTATTATTTTTCAGTTTTTCAAAAACCCAAAATTTTAAACACCTCTATTTTTGAAAAAAAAAAAGACAAAAAGAGAAGTTTGGTTTTTTTATAAAAAACAAAATGTTAGTGTATTTGTAATATAAAAAACTAAAAGATATTTTTATAATAACAGCAAATATAATGAATATATACATGATTTTTTCTATATTTTAATACGTGATTTTCTCTATATTTTAAAGCTTTCACATAAATGTTTAATATTAAAACCATATTTCTTGACACTTTTTGCTATACTTTAATACGTGATTTTCTCTATATTTTAAAGCTATCACATAAATATTTAATATTGGAACCATATTTCCCGATACTATTTGAAAGTGAATTTTACTTTGATTGTTTAAAGTCTCGACTCTATACAAACTGCACCCTTTATCTTTTATACTATGAGGTCACATTGTTTAGAGCCTCGACTCTATACAAACTGCACCCTTTATCTTTTATATTATGAGGTCACATCTTGTCTTTTAATTTTCAAATTAAGCAGTTGTAAAAGTGATGTTGAAAAGATTCAAAATTCAAAAAAATTTCTTTAACTTCATGACTAAATACCCCGACCATTCAATTTATCATCTAGAAATAATTACGACCTTCTTGTAACAAAGATAAATGATCTCTTTTTATACAATCCTTTAATTAGATTTTTTATTCTATTTTATTTTATTTTTATGTTTATAATTTTAAAACTAGCAAATACAATGATAGAATGGTAGAATCAATATTTAAAATAGATTAAAACTACTATAAAAATAAAATTCAAAAAGATCCGATAAAAAATAAAAAAATCTATTGAACAATAAAATATATACAACCACAAATAACAATTGATAAAAGAAAATAAATAACATTAGTTACATTGCACATTCTATTATACCAATTAACAAGTACTTAATCTAATAATAATTGTTTGTAATAAGTCCAGCTTTTCTAATTCCATATAATTTTCAAATATTTGAGTTGTGAAACATCGAAAAACAATGCATATACAATTTTTAGAAATTACCAAAAACTCCCCCCTACCCAATGTTAGAAATACCAGACATAGATGTTAGAAATGCTAGACATACCAAAATGACATACAGTTTTGGAAAACAAAGAACAAAAAAGATTTGAAAGTCTGCACCTTACAATGCATTACTTAGACCATCAATTTTCAATATTTTCTAGTTAATCTAGACTATTTTTCAAACTTTAAATTTTATAATTAAAGATCAAAATAAATTTTCACGCTATTATAAAGACTTCTGATACAAAAACATTTTTCAACGAAAGTCCACCTTTGATTGTTTAAGCCTCATCTTTATATAAAACCACGCCCTTTACAAATATATAAAACCATAGCCTCCTCAAAAAAAAAAAAAAGAAAGTTTGAGAACGATCGTTACCGTGATAGGCGCCTTCAAGCCCTGTCGCACATAAATTTACTTATATTTTTTTGGGAATAAATTTCTATACTTTTAACGTTAATAAACAAACCCCGAGATATCGTCATGGCATCCCAACAAACTCCCACGAGAAATACCCTTTTAAGATGCTAAATGATGATCTGCTCAAGATATACATACTCAAAATTCCACCTCTCATGATCAACTCTGCAACTCTTCATATTACACTACCAACAAAGGAGATAACAGAAGTAATACACATCCACATAATTTGGAAGGGAGAAAGAAAGGATCCTATCTCTAAGGAATTGCATTAAACTGAAAATGATCTCAACTCATAAGGCATCTCACATGACTTTATAAATACAACAAAGAAAAAACAAAAGGTGAGGCATATGTCCACAAAATCTAGAGAGAGAGTTAAAGTTATGCATCAACAGTGGGATAGAGATTGTTTTGAGGTCCAGAGGATGGTGGCGGGTTGTTTTGAGGTCCAGAGGGTGGTGGTTGGTGTGACATAGCAGCAACCGTGGAAACAGAGTCGAATAAATGCTTGAAGGCCTTCTCATGGTTCACAAACCCCATAAACCAAAACTCATGCCCATCCACTGTCACAATCTGCACATACTTCTCCTTCTCCTTCATGGTCACTGAGTCAACCGCCTTAATCTTCGCCAGAGGGATTAAAACCTGTTCCAAAAGAAAGATGAATAATGGGAGTGAGATAGATTAAACGAAGAGAGGGGGTACCCAATCTCCCTGTTCTATAGAGAGGGGGGATACAAAATAAGGGGACCCTCCTTTTATCGAGTTGGAGAGTTTTACGAGGAATTTGGTACAACTCGCCCTGGTATAAGGCCAAGTCGACGAGTCTCGAAACAGTATTATCAACAAATCAAATTCAACCAATGGTCATACTAGTTTTGATTGGACCATCGTTCAATGGCCTAACTGATTATGGTAACAAACATAATATGTACACAATTGGAAAGGACACAAGAATTCCACATGCAATGAAGCCTGCCTTCACTCGATTGTGTGATCCCCTTCTCTCTCTCCCCCTCTCCCTCTCCCTCTCCGTCTCCCTCACCCTCTCCCTCTCATCACCAATGGCTCCTGAGATGTAATAGGAAACAGTAGATCGCTAAATGCGCAACGGGCACAATCTAATAGGCAACCAAGTTCACCTTCACTCAAGTATGTGGACCCTCTTTCTCACACACACGCACCAATATTTTGTGCTAAGTTCCTAATCCACATTATATAGGAAAGATCAACTTGTTTCGCAAGTAAAAGAAGATACCCATTTCAATAATATTCATCCCGAATGTTAAATTCAAGTTCAACCATACAATTTGAAAGGTGCAACAGAAAGCAATAGAGAGAGGTTTTACCTTGTAGTAGCTCCAAGATTGCTGACCAGAAGGAGCCGTAAAAGCGAGGGGGCGATCGCTGCAAAATGCGACATTAACATTGGAGAGATAGAGTGTTCCAGCAACAGGACCAGTGGTTGTAGAGAGATAACAAGCAAACGTCTTCTTCAACTTCTCTGATGGGTCAGTTGGAAAGGTTTGCTTATACATTGCCTCAAACCCACCTTCTGAAATTGCCTTGGCCGTTAGGCTCAACTTCCCCCATGCTACCTCTGAAACTGAGGGTCCAGTTTTAACTGTATGGGTGAAAAACAAAAAAAACAGCTTACAATTAGATTAATAGCATTTTTTTAATACCATGATTTAATCCAACCATTAATTTTAGTGCATACCTTGCTACCAGTTCAAAAATGTCAAAAAAATACTCTGCTTCCGCAAAGATAGTATACTGTGTTTTTACTCCCTCAAGAAAACCCTTGACCCAAATCCTAAAAAAATGAATGAATTCGCATTCCATGGGCCCAAAATAAACAAGTTCAAACATCAATTCTTTAAGAAAATAATGATCTATTATTTCTCAGGTCGATGCCAAACTTTTCAGATCCAGGATCTCCCCAATAGTTAGGGAATAAGTGTATAGTATGCATCCCTCGGGAGTATACAGGCTAAAAAAGTGGATAAAGAATGGACGAAAGCACTCTGGGTGCTTGAATTGTCGCACATTAATGGTAAAATAACATACCCTGCTAACTTCATGGGAAAAGTTCTTAAAAGAAAAAATAAAAATCTAAGTTCTATTTAATACTAGTAAGTGCATATTTCATATTAATAAATAATAAATCATATCCATCTAGGCCTTGATCTGAAATTGGGTGACTAAAAGTCATTCCATTAACAAGCTAAAAATTCAAAAAAATATTTCTTGAACTTTTGCGGCATACTCAGATTTTCCACATCTGATTGTTAACTCCTAAATTTCACATCTAATGGTTATAAACAATTGTGAGCTGCTTATTATCTCATTGTATACAATCTAATCAAATATTAATTATTCTCACAAAAAAAATTAGAGAGAGAGAGAGAGAGAGGCGACATACGGTTTTGCCAAATATTGGCAGCCGTGGTCTCAGCCTTCTTACTCCACTTATTGAACTTAACACGGGCGGCTTCTATAGGACTTCCGTGATGCTGTACAGGCGTATGTTGCACGTAGGGGGACTGCTCAGGCTGCTTAACCTGCGGCTCATAGTCCGCTCGAGCCCACTTGGCCGCCTCCTGGTTAAGTGGGTGCGCAGAGGGTGCCGCTGGTGCACCCATAACATGGGTTCCCCATTTCTCTCCCTCTACCTGTGAAGAAGACCCACCTCTGTTCTGATCAGACCCTTTCTTCTCACTATCCATCACAAAACAAACCACTCTTTTCTTCCAAACAATAAATCCCTTTGTAAGAGAAAATGCCCACCCAAGCTCCTAGAGAGAGAGAGACAGAGAGAGAAAGTGATTCTCTAGAGAGCAACAGCTGAGAAAGTTGTTTCTATGACCTGAAAAAATGGAATTTATTTTAGGGTGATTACAGGAGAGGATGATTTTATCGAGTGGAATATTTGCTTAGTGGGTAAGGATTGAGGTGGAAATGTCTTGGTCATTGGACGCGTAAGCGAGAAAAGCATGTTTTAAAAAATTAAGAAGATGACACGCGTAAGGAAACTGGAGGCTTCCTCTTGGCGCTCGATGGTTCATGAGATATGCAAGCAATTTCGTCGTACGCTTTGGGCAAAATAGTTATTGTGTTCCTGCTGGAGTACATGTACATATACTCTCACTTGGCCATAAATCGAGCTTAAGAGGATTATTACGATCGGAATTGGCTTTGAGATCATTATTTAGAAAAGATAAGTAATGAGTTTTTAAATATTTAAATAGAAATGGTTTAACAGGGCTGCTGCTCTATAAAAAAATAAAATCAACCTTCATCTTAAAATTCACTAAAAATTATAGTTTTGACGATCATCTTGGCCTTCACTATTATAGTAATAAAAAAAAAATTATAATTTTAAATTTTAAAAATAATGCATATTGTACCGCATAATTTACACTCTTCCCTTCGCCTTTAAAACAAGTGTTTATTGATCCATAGGATCTTCACCACTTTTGAGCTTTAAATTTCATGATCAATGTTAGAAATTGATTGTGCAGCTATCACGTAGATTTCCCATGCCCAAATTTTTGATGAAAATTTAATATGAGCCTTTTACTTTGTTTTCATATAAAACCTAGGCTTTATAAAAACTACACTCGTACTTAAATTTAGCTGCCAAAACTGCACTCATACTTAAATTTAACTACCAAAAGATTGGACGTTCCAATTACGTACAAAGGTCGTAAAAGGGTAGTCACATGAGGGAGTTTGTCTAAGATAAGCTCCCGCTTAAGCGAATGATTAATTTGGGTAATATTTATTCGAGAAATTATCGTAAATATACTTTAATTTATGTTTAATTGGAAAAAAAAAAAACCTAAACTTTCATTTACCTCGTCAGCACAATTTTTTTTTTTTTAGTTTTTTTGGTCCAAAATGATCTTCAACACAGTCTTTCTACCGGAATACATATCATTTTATACAATATTTTAAATACTGTAGTAACTTCAAGTAATATTGCGGCACTTTAAGTACCGTAAAACTAAAACCCATTATACGACATTTTAAGTACCGTAAACACTAACCCATGTTATATGGCACTTAAAATGCCCTAAACTCTTTTCTCATTCAGTTTATCTCTTTTATCTTTAATTCTTTTATGGGAAATTTCAAAAAAACCTCAAAATAGACTTTTTACGCATTTTAGCCCACCCAACTTTTCCTAACAACCTTCCACAAAAAAATAATGTTTCCTAGCAAATAACCCTATACAAAAAATTAATTATTGTTTTTGACGAAAGTACCATTCTCTTATATAACAAATCATTTTCAGATCTCAATAAAAAGAAAAGCCAAACCGAACTTGTACAACGTCGAACTGCTCACTTCAAAATGCCGGACTGCCCCTCCAAAATGCCGAACCGCTATATCAAAACACTGGACTGCCTCTTCAAAATTCCAGACCGCAACTTCAAAACACTAGACCGCCCATTCCAGCAAACAATAATCGCCAGACCGCCACCATGAAATGCTAGACTGCCACCATGAAACACAGGACCGGTCGGACCGCCAGTTCAAAATGCCTGACCGCCCTCTCCAATGAAAATAATTTGTTAGGTGAGAGAAAGGTATTTTCGTCCAAACAAAAATGAACTTTTGTATGGGGTTATGTACTAGGAAAAGTTGAGTGGATAAGGTGCATAAAAAAAATCCATTTTGCAATTTTCTCTTCTTTTTTTTTCTAATTCTTTTTAATATTTATCTCTTCGTTATCTCTCTAATTCTTTATTTCTTATTTCTCTACAATCTCATCATCGTTTCCTTATATCATGTCCTCTGTTTTGCATAGCCGAAGTCAATGTTTGATTACTCTCTCTAAGGAAACGATGATGAGATTGTAGAGAGAGAAAGAAGAGATGAATATTAAAATGAATTAGAGAGAGAAAGAATAAATAAACATAAAAAGAATTAAAGATGAAAGAGATGCTTATCTTTTCTTTCTCTCTCTAATTCTTTTTAATATTTATCACTTCTTTCTCTCTCTAATTCTTTTTTATCTATTATTTCTCTCTACAATTTCATCGTTTCCTTATATAGATCATGTCCATTGTTTTGCATAGCCGAAGTTAGTGTTTGATTACTCTCTCTAAGGAAACAATGATGAGATTGTAGAGAGAGAAAGAAGAGAAAAAAAAGAATTAGAGAGAGAAAGAAAAGATAAATATTAAAAAGAATTAGAGAGAGAAAAAAAAAAAAATTAAAAAGAATTAGAGAGAGAAAGAATAGATGAAAGAGATAAACAGAATGAGAAAATGGTTTACGGCATTTTAAGTGCCATATAACATGGGTTAGTGTTTACGGTACTTAAAATACTGTATAAGGGTTAGTGTAAGTTTACGGTACTTAAAGTACCGTATAAAATGCCCTCAGCACTACGGTACTTAGAGTATCATATAGAATTACCTAAGTATTACGGTACTTAAAGTATCATATAATATGCACAAACTATTACAGTAATACGACTACTGTGAAAGTCATTTTGGTAAAAACAAAAAACCAAAAATGAGGAAAAAAGGTATAGACGAGATCAACGAAAGTTTGAGGTTTTTTTTTCCAATTAAGCTTAAATTAAGGTATATTTGCAATAATTTTCTTATTTTTTTTTGAATCTTATTAATTTGCCCAAAAAATATCCCGTTAGCTACATTTGGCTAAAAAGAATGCTATAGTGGATATATCTCAAATACATCTAAGACCTGGTTTAAAATCGTTGTCTAATACCTCCTGTGTAGAAATGACTCTCCCCTTAAAAGTCTATTTTTGAGATGGATTTTTTGAGATTATGAATATAAAAAAGTTAATTAATTTTTAAAATTAAAAATAATAATTTTATAAAAAAAACATTTGGACGATTAGTTTAATTGGTTTTAGATGGACCACAATTTGCATCCATCTTTAAGATGGATGCTTTATACCTCATGGAGATGCAAATGTAGAAATGCGCCACGAAACAATTTTTTATAAATAATTTTTAAATTTTATTACCTGTTTTAATTTTCATCTAATAATCATTTTCTAATATATCAAACTGGATACAAATCCACCCCTCTTGGCCCCAAATAAAAGTCTATAAGAATTTTTTTAAAAAAAATTCCTATTTTATTATCAAATTTTAAAAATAGTCATGCATGTTTTATATCTTATGCTCAAGTCGCACTTTAAGAGTACATAATACCCGTCCTTTTGAGGGTTACCGCTTTGGGGGTTACGGGAATGGATTTCCAATATGGAGATGGGTCTCCAAGAGAGAGACATGTCTTCTGAGAGAGAAGTGGTATTCCCATGAGTTTTGAGTTGGTAAGGCTTCTACTTTTAGAGAGAGAAAATATGTTGATTGCTCTAGAGATTATCTTTCCGGTAGCGGTATTACGGTGGGAAAGAAGGTATTGATCGACGGTGTTGCTCGGTCAGGAGAACGAGGTTAGAAGAAATAATCACCGATAGTTGTTTACCGATATTTAGAGAGAAGTATATCTCTTGTAACTCAAAATTATAATAGTTATTGTGAGTGGCTTTCTACTTGTCGAGGCCGTGGATGTAGCCCTACGGGATGAACCACAGAAATCGTGTGTTGTTGTGGTGTGATTTTTATATTTGCTTTGTTTTTTTCACTTGATTTATAATTTTATTCATCTACTTTGCGATCAAGGTGGACATTGTTTGGTTTGGTGATAGTCAAATCGCCATAGCCATATTTTCTTCTAAAAGATTATGGATATTATGGTAAAAAGAAAATAGACTTTATGGAAAGCAAGAAAGTGATATCTATATAAGAGAATCAAGAAAGACATAATACTATCCTTTTGAGGGCCACCCCTTTGGGAGTTTTGAGAATGGATCTTAAATATGGAGATGGGTCTCCAAGAGAGAGAGATATGGCCTTTGAGAGAAAGACGGTATTCCCATGAGTTTGGGTTGGTAAGGCTTCCACTTTTAAAGAGAGAAAATCTCTCAGTTGCTCTCGAGGTTATCTTCCTGATAGCGGTATTGCAGTAGGAAAGAAGGTATTGATCGACGGTGTTGCTCGGTCGCGAGAGCGAGTTTAGAAGGGAGAATCGGTGATCGCCGTTTACTGTTGTTTAGAGAGAGTTATATCTCTTGTAACCCAAAACTGTAATCTTAAGTGTGATAATGGATTTCTACTTGTCGAGGCCCTACGGAGTGAACCACATAAATCGTGTGTTATTGTGGTGTAACTTTTATATTTGCTTTATTTCTTTCACTCGATTTATAATTGTGTTCATCTACTTTGCATTTAGCCAATCATGTACACAATTTTGGGTGGGATCCTGGTATTTGGGATTCCCGGTTCCGCAAGCTAGGGATACTCGAGAACCCTATACCACCTTGAATGACGTGAGCTGCATCCAGTGAGAACCACATATATGATTTTAGAGGAATTTGGCTGTAAAACCAAAAGGCGCCCACCTAATTAGAGGGACAGATAAATTGATAGAATGGGCTTAGTTATGTTTTAAGCAGGGGTGGCAATAGGCCAAGTGGCCTTGCCTAGCCTTAAAATACTAGGGCTTGGGCCACAAAATGTGGCCCGAAAGTCGAGCTAGGGCTACGACATGACCAGCCCAGCCCGACTCTCTTTTTTTCCTTACTTTTCCTTGATTAATTTTTCTTTTTATCTAGCAGCCTAGCCCTGATAGGGATAGAAATAGGGCTTCTTTGGCATGGTCATGTCCAAGCTAAGCTTGGACTAGCCCTTTAGGCACCAGGGCCGGGCTAAGTCTGGCTTAGCCCAAGCTTGGCCCTTTGTTGGCCCTAGTTTTCCAGAAGACTGTACCCTTCTATTAAGCCATGTTTAGTTGAAAACACAAGATCGAACCAGGGCCCACCCGGCCCCTTTGTTTTAGCGACTCACCATATGGTCTCCTTGCCAAGAACTCCTCGACAACGATAAAGGAACCA